TCCTTGAAACTCAGTTTGATCCTTTCCCCTCCCTCCTTTCCTCTTCTCATGACAACAGTTTCACCAGAAACTGGAAACCCATCTTACCCCTGGATATAAATTTCCTCTGGTTTTCTGCAGATGTCTTCAAATGTCAGCATAGTATGGCATGCTGCCTGACATTTTTAATGTGCCTGTAAATGGATGTACATTTAAAATTATTTTTAAGGGATTAAAGTTAGTCCAATGCAACAAATGGGACTGATTCGATTGCAGTATGCAATCTAACCAACTCATAGAAACTCATGGATAAGAGATGCACGGTGGATCTGAAAATTACCAGCAAAGCACCATTGCATATCTTCAGCAGCCAGACTGAGGGGAGTGCTGCTTGATTCAGATGCCATTTTACTTATTAACTGAATCATTGCTCAGGTCGAGTATATCCACTTCCAAATCACAAATGCCAGCATCTGAAAAACTGGACAATTGACAGTAGCTCCTTTCAAAACATGATGCTAATCTCAAACTGATTATCCTGTCCCTGTTTCTCAGGTGGCTGCAGGTATTCCAGCAAGGAATCTCCCAAGCAGCTGAAACAACAGTGAAAGCTGATGACTTCTGAAAGGACATAGACAAAACATCAGTACTGAACTTTCTTTCAGCAGCACTCAAGCAGTTTGTAAAGTTCATGATGTATGTGCCTCAAAGGAACAGAAGGCAGGCTTCCTCTTTGATTTTTTGTTGTTTAAGGCATTCATACTATTGTACAAACCCCACATGACACCAGCTAAGAGAAGAGGAATGTCCTTTGTCCTGGGAGAGGCGCACAGCAGGACTAGTAGGGAAACTAGATTGGAAGATACACTTCAGGAGAGTACTTGATGTGCTTAGCCCATGGGATCAGAGTTAGTCTGAAAGTAAACCTGGATTTTAAAGCCTAGTAAAATAAGGGGTAAAAAGAATATGTTTATTGCCTGTATGCTATCACAGTGGGAAATAAGGTATTAAACTGAGGGGTTATCACTTCTCTACACAACAAAATCTACTGTCCATGAATAAATGTTGCTGAAAATTAGAAAAGGTCTATCCCTCTAAGCAGTAATAGTCTTGGAAAAGTTGAGGACATACTACCCAATTTATTTTTAAATGGAGCCTGGTAAATTCATGGATGGAAATGTTGATATAAATGAAACACCATGTTCATGAACATAGGTGTCCTGGTTCAACTAGGATAGGGTCAAGTTTTCTCCGGCAGAGAGAGAGGGGGAAGGGATCTCCAGCCGGGTTATTCATACTATGCTGGCATCAGGTCCAGGGGTAGAACCTTTTCACTTTCGCTTTTGGTTTTGGGAGTTGCGAGTTGCACACGCGGTGGGCTTGTTCCCTGACCATTTTGCGGTATTTCTCTGTATATCTTTTGTCTTGTTTACTGTTATTGCTGTTTATTGTCGTTATCATTGCTACTGTTGTTGTTCAGATTGCTCTATCACTCTGTTGTATTAAATTTCTTCTTATTTCAGCCCGGGGTCTGTGCTTAACTTCCAGCCTGACCAGCTGAGGGTGGGGGGGAGGCAACGGCAACATGCTCTCCGGTCCCGGCAGGGCTTAAACCTGCACAATAGGAGAGTCCCATGAGAATAAATTTTGTTCATTATACTCTAATGAGAAATAAGAAGGAGGATGCCATCAGGAATGCTAAAGAATATTATTCTAAAGTTTGGGGTGAATATTTAATCATTATATATAGCAAGACTAAGACTTGGATAACTGGTCAGTAATAATGAGTGTATGTGCTCTTAAAAGTCTGTGGAGAAAGGCTGACGTGTTCAAAAAAGATCTAAGCACCAGCCCTCAGAATACCTGTCCCATAAAAAACATCTATTTCCTAAAAATCAAGGCACCATCGCTAGTCACTCTTGGAAATGTTAGCCAATCTTTTCATCCATCTCTGTTTACACAAGAAGACAACCGGTCTGTACATGTTTTATCTGATAATGTAATTTAACAGTTCTGTAGAAAGACTGTGAGCGAAATCTGAAATTCAAAGTCAGTTCAGCAGGTGGCAAGCGGAAAGTCATTAGTTTTCAATAGTTATGGATATTTAACTTACTTTTCTGAGAAGTAGGTCAGACACCTATCTGTGTGATAAATGGATATTGTTGTGGAAAAAAAAATTGCCTGAAAACTGTGTGTGAGCAATATTGTGATTCACAATTAACATTACTCTAGTTAATGACAGTTTCCTGTTTTCTTCTGATTAACCTGTGCTTTTGATGTCCTTTGTATCAGTCACACTAGTTTTCTCATCTGTAGGCCATTAGGCACTAATTCTCTAAGCAGCTTGGGCTACCAGAGCTCTGAACTCAGAAACTTTTTGTCATCTTTGTGAAGGCCAAGTCAGCTTTAGGCACAGGCAAAGATGGTAATGGCCTAGGTAGCAAGAGGATCTTCACAACGAATACCTATGACCTTACCAACTTCTTTGCCTATTGCTAAACATAATGTGGCCATAGAGAAAAGAAGGTGTGTGAGGATCTTGGAGAGTTCAAGGAGAAAGTTCCACCACAGATCCTTCAGATGAACTTTAAAAATGCTAGCAGAAAGGGGAATCAGATACCCTGTGATAAACTAGGTCAGTGAACTAATCCACTCTAAAAATAAACTGCAAAATTAAAAAGGATAAGACACATGGGTTTGATGTACCCCACTGCTTCATACATAGCTAGGAACCAGTTTATGGAAGGCTGTGGGAAAGAGGGTTTCCTTAAGCCAGTTTGTCCTTAAAAAAAAGTGCAGAGAACCATAATCAGAGCTGTTCTACCTTGCTGTAAAGACACTCTCAGAGATGTCATCAGAATAGCAAAGACGACTTTTCAATTCTTTGTTGACAACATGACATAAGGATTGCTTAATATTTTCCATTCTAATACAGAGGATTGAATACAGAGAAAACAGAATATCAAGAGAGGGAAAAGACAATATACTGTTTTATTTTAAATGTAATCATTTAAAATAATTCACAGGGAAAATCTGCAACAATGACAACAAAAGCCTCTGTTTAGGTTTAAAATATGCGATTAGCAATCTGGGTGTTAAAAGCATTTTAGAATCTTAATGGGCCCATGGAAAGAACAACAAGCCATTAACTATTGAATTGTTTAAAGAGTGGTATTCTGGTATCAGCTGTTCTTCATAGTGATGATGTCTGTATTAATACTAGTTTATAAGCACAGGCCTACTTTATGTGAATTAAAATGCACTGATTTTAGCTGCAAAGTTAATATGCCTCATAGTAATATTGCAAATTGCCTAACTGCTTTGCTATAAAATGGCCCAGTTACTGATTCTATAATCTAAATTATGTCTCAGTGATTTAGGAAGTGTTTGAACTATGCATTAAATTAAATACATAGGAGTTAAAAAGGAAAAGTTCACTACAGATTCAACCTAATTAATCAGGACTGAATTGATTTTGTACTAATATTTTGAAATTAGATTTTGCTGTCTTGTTTTCCATTTGAGTGTTAATTTGTGTCATTTATTAAATAGTCTGTATGTATCTGTTTCTGGAGAATGTAATTAATAATTAAGATAATTAACTGAATCCATTCAGAGATACCTTTCCTTGTATTACATTAAGAAAAACATAAATCTTCTTTTCTCAGTTTAGTATGCCTAATTGTTTATGATAAATTCATACAGTGTTTTGAATGAAATTTCAACTGGGGGGGGGGAAGCTCGGGAGCTATCTGCAGGTAGAATGTTCTTTTTGGTATATCTGCAACTATGCAGCTACAGACTTTAATCCAGAGTGTCTGAGATCATGAAAATTAGATTAATGCAATGGGTGGAGTTGCTTTCAATTGATTGCAGTACACAATACAATTCACTCACAGAAACCCATGAATAAGAATTTAATTTAAAATGACAGGTGAAGCATTTGCTCAGCTTTGAATAGGAAATGAGGGAGGTGGTTAAGGGTATTGTCAGCCCTTGTAAACTGGTTAGATATAGTCCAAAACTGGAGGGAAAAAGCCAAAAATCAAAACCCTCTGACAATCTGGTAGAAGTTTCCTGCCATATGGCCTGAAATTAACGGGCTGTTGTTCTGTAACATCAGAACTTATCCAGATTATCTTCAGAGAGCTGTAGAAGTGAAATAGGAAAAAAAAAAAAAAAAAAAAAAAAAAAAAAAGCATCACAAGTTACATAGATCTTAACCAGCAATTGAATTCAAGAGGGCAAGTGGTTTTTGAGTATTGCATCTTACTCTTCAAAGACCAGTGATTATCTTGCAGTGTTATTTCTCAAGTTAAGTTACTCTGATGTTAATACACATTTGTAGTACATTTCTACATTTATATCTAGTTATTTTTTAAATCTATTTTGTCTTTTCTGGTGAAGAATCTTAAAACTCCAGGAAATCAGAAGTGTGTTCTGCTTCCCCTTGCACAGGGATGAGATGGGGAAAGACAGGGGGAGAAATTTGCTTTCTTTTTTTCATCTGAAACAGTACCACAGGGATAGAGCTTTTAAGAATTGAGTAGCGGATTTAGCAACACATCATGCACAGCTAAATAATGAATTGGATGCAAGAGCTTTGAGCAAGCACATGAAATTAGTATAACCAAAAAAAAAAAAGTGCTAGAGTACTCTTCCCTACCTGTTGAAGAGAACACATGTTATTCTAACCTGGAATTCTTCAAAACACACACGGAAATTTTCTGCCTGTCTCTATCATCTGAAAAAAGGCTGATGGTATCCAGCTCACAAATAACTACCTCAAGGTAAGCCATGAGACAGTCTATGGCAAGAGCACTCCTTTAAGCTTTGGAGTTCAGGGGCTGGATAGGCTGTATTGCTGCAAATAGCAGTGACTGGTGTGTATGTGGGTTCATGCTTATGTAAGGTAGATTTTAGGATTTGGGGTTTTTGGTTCTTGCATCCATGAAACCAAGGGTCAAGAAATGGAAACAAACCAGATGCATAAATAGCACCTCTTCTGTTTGTTTGTTCTTCAAGAAAATAAAGGAAAGTTTGGAGTGCTTTCCTGTTAAACTCAATAATTTGATTCACATGCTTGTACAGATGTCAGTAGCAGGCTCTGCAAGGCCTCCAGCTCCAGAGACTGTCCCCCAAGAGTGGACAATGCTGAATACAGAGAAGTCAATCACAAGAGCCACCATTTTGTGGTTCAACAAAAAGTCTGACTCTGTAGGCATTATGTTCTTTGCTTGCCCTAATTTGCTTTGATCTTTAACGACTCTTCTATGAGCTTATATACTCTTCCTTCTGCTTTATAGAAGATGTGCTTGTGTCAAATTAAAAGGATCACAGGATGAACAGCAGTGCCATAAGCAATGAGCTATCCAAGAGAAAGTACACCAGGCAGACAGCTATTAGCAGGGAGCCATTAAGAAGAACAGTTCATGCCCTATAGTGAAAAATAAATCAAGAGCTAATTAAAGAATCCAGAAGGAAAGCATGCCACAAAATTAGGAAGCCTAATAGAAATCAGAGGCTGTTATATGATGCTATAATAGTGCATCATTAGTTTTCCCACACTGCAGTGATCTTTCAGTGTTTGAGTTGTATGTTATCCAGGCAAGTTTCTCTTCTGTGCAGCAAAGACTGTAAATTACAAACTGAATTCCCTGGCACTTGGCACTACATTAAAGAAAGTTTTTTCTTTGTTAAAATTACCCTATATTTTTTTGTACATTTTTTTTAATATGACTTTCCAATCATTTTCTTTTCTGCCTCTTCCCTTTCCCCAGTACAGCTATATCTAGTTCAGGTGGTGTAAACCTGCATTGTGGTCACTTTTGTGGAAAAACCATTCAACCAGTTCTCAAAACTTCACAGCCATCTCCAGAAACAATTTCCATCACGTGCCCTCCCAGAGTAAGGCAGCATGTTAGTGAATGTTATTCTGTTGTTAAATGGTTCTCTCTGTGCACAGATAAAAATGTGAGATGTATGGCAGACATATTTTTAGAAAAATGAGGGCAATGCAACATATTCTGTCAAGCCTTCTATACAGGCCCAGAAGAAACTGAATCCATATAGCATTGTGACAGTCTAACTTTTATATATTTTTTTCCTGATAAGGCCTTTAATATTTTTTATTTTCTACATGATGCTGATCAAAACTCATAGCAAAATCCATATATTAAATCCATGTAGGAATGTTGACGCTGTCAGAACAGAAACAAGCCAATCTCTGACACTGGCAGGCGTGATCAACCTTTTTGCAAAAAAGATGCACATACTCCCCAGCTGAGAGATATGCAGTAATCTTATGTACTGTACTGGCCCCACAAACTGATACTTTGTGCCTCACATCATTCAGTTTAATATCTCTTGAAATATATGATATCATTTGTAGCAATAATTCTGAATATTACTTTTTATCCATGTGCATAACTGTTCCTGCTTTTCATATTCTGAATCTTATTTCCTCACAGTTGTCCCATGGTTTATTTCTGTCTTATGTAGAGCAGTTTTGCCTTATGTAATGGTTGTCCATGGCTTTGGTAATGCAAGTGGAGTTATGTATTCTGCAAATATTATATACATCACACTGTATACACCATTGAGAACAAAGTAGTCCTCTTAAACAGTCATGCTGACTCACCTGATGCAAGCCCCTCTTCAAGCTTGATCTACAAAAAAGCATAAAGGTGACTGAAAAGACAAGCAGTTTCATTGAACCAAGCTGAGATTCAAAGTATATGCTTGAAAAATAGAAAGGTCTTTGATGTTTGACCTGAAGTAAATAGCTACAAACAACATAGTTTTGACTCTAAAAGATAAAAGGATTCCAAATCCAAATTTGATATTCCCCCAGGCTTGTGAGAGGCATTCAGTTCAATTGCTTTAGGATAGTTAATTCTACAGAATCTTTCTGCTACCTGAGAAGATTTTAACTGACTCCAGTTTGACTCATTATGACTGCCTCACATGAACTGGTTTGCAGCAATTGGTGAGAATTGGAATTTCACTAAATGCTGAAAATGGTTTTAATTTGGAGATATTTGAACGTTAACTATTAGGCTGTAAAATAAAATATTTAATTAGTACCTACTTATGACTTTCTTCTGTGGTGAGCACAGCCCTTTGAAGGAAAGTATATTTCTCTTCAGAAACGCATAGACATCTGAAACCTTGAAGTGAATTTCAAAAATAGTGCTATCCATTTTTTAAGCTAAATCTACCTTTAATGAAATCCCTCACAACATTTTCATTGAAAAAAAAGAGTTCCAGAATTCAGAGAAGGTTAATCTGCCTATACTGAGGCTGTATCTAAGAGGTCCAGAGCTTTACTGTCATAATTAGGTCACAGCAGTAACCTGTCACTATATGATTTTTCCCCAAGACTCTGTTAAAGTAATTCATTTTCTGATGTTTCTTTATATGTATGTTCTTTAATGCTAAAGTTCTGGGGTTTTTTCCTAACAGAACTTCATCAGCTTGAGGCTTTTTATGTATTCCAGATTTTACTCTAATAATGAAAATCTAATTATTTCTTTATAGGAAACTGCCATACCATATTAGATCATTTGTCTGTCTGTGTTACAAAGCTCCAACTCTGGTCAATGCCAGATGCTTCAAAGGAAGGAAAAAGTCTTGTTCCATAATGTAACCACATAACCAGTTTGAAGATGTATGATTTAAAAGTAAGATGCCTAATACTGCTAGAATAATTGGAACTGCTAACAGAAAGGACTTGATTACTGCTTTGTGTTTGTTAATGAAATTGTATATATTCATGTCTCATTAGGATGAAATAATGCAATATGAGTCTGCTTCATACAAGTGTTAAATACTGGCTGTAATCACAAGAAACTGATAGCAAAAGCTCAGAGTTCTCAGCATCTGAAAATTTGCTATTGACTTGTAAACATTCACCCCATATTAATAAGTCAAAGCACAGATGCCCCAAGCAAGCCCTTGCGCTCTAGCATATTTCCTCTTATTTGGTTTCAAACAGAGTATTATTTATGTTTAATTACTGGTTTTTAAAAAGCAAAAAATCTTTTCACCCAACAAAACATTTAAGTGACATAATTTATATACAGCATGCTCTTCAGGTTAATAAGTAGGAAATGGAATCCTCTATGCGGGATGTGTGTGCATGCTGCAAGTTTATATTTTTCTGATCTACTTATGGTAGATGCAAAACTCAAAATCAGCTTGGGAAGTTAACCTCTTCTAACACAAGTCTGCTCACAAGTCCAAAGTCAGTTTCAGCCATAGGCGCAATTCAGCAAATGCGTGAAGGTCTTTTAAAGAAGTGTTCAGTGCTATCATAAGGTTCATATTGTCCTTCACTGCAGCAATTATTGGTGCTATCAATCAGCGGATTTTCTGTCCTCTGTTTGGCCACTGTGCTTAGGATGCCTACATTTCACAGCTGGAGTCCTCTCTTTGTGCTATATAGTCTAATTAATTTTAAGCTGCTTCCAAAGAGATCCTCCCTATCATCTTTTGAAAGAAGTCCTTTTTGTGCCCTGGAGGAACCCAGAATATTCACAGCCTGTCTGTGTGTGCTAAATGACCTGGGCTCTATTTTTATCTGTGCAGCTCATATATGTCATGATCCTGGGTCATATCATTTCCGCCACCTCATTATGTGTTTTGCCACTGTACTTTCATGAGGCAAGAATCACCTCTTCCTGTTCATTTCTACAGTGCCTAACTGAGCCCTGATCTTTCAGTGCTATAGGCAAAAATAATCAAAAGGTCATAAACATGCTATCGTCCTGGCCCCTTGCTGTTTTATTTGCAGACTAAGTTATACTAGTGCTGAGTTCTTCCTTGCAGTATTACACAGTTGCATTTCAAAAGACCGGCCAAGTGTCTCTTTTCAGTGTGTTGTGCTGCTAGATGGCTTTTTAGTCACTGTCTGAAGCCTTCAGATATCTCTTGAGATCTAGTGGATAAACAAGGTTGTACCAGAAAAAAGAGATTTGTAAACCAGAAACAGATAACTATTTACAGTGGTGGTATAACATGAAATACAACCAGATCAAAACTTCTAACTTTCTGTATCACATACATGAGAGCATAAGAGCATAATACTAGATATGAATCCAAATATTAGTGATCCGTATCATAAAACCCATTACGTGCAATTTAGCCCAGATAGCTTTTCTAATGCTCCTTCAACCTGGCAGAGAAATAGTCCTTGTCAGGTCAAGGTTAATGTAACTTGATTATGTGTATTGTTAAAAATCTAACCTTTTGACTGACCTAATGTGCATTGTCTCTAAAACACAAAGATGATTCAAGTAAAAAAAAATGTGGGGTTTTGACATTTTCCATTGCCAAACATTTAAAAATTGACAAAAGGCCATATGTGGTTTATTTACTAAACTGAAATAAAATTCATCTTTATAAAAATTGAGCAAGAACATTACTATTATTATTGTTATTGCTTTTGTTAGGATTGATTTTGTTATTATAACAATCATTTATTTTCATATATTAGTTATTATACTAGTGCCTGAAATGATATATGTAATCAGGACATGCTCTGAAAAACTTATCTACACTTTAAATAACTGAGGTCAAAAAGCAAGTAATAATACATTCATAAAATGTCATGTAAGGCCTTAATGCTGTAAGGCTTTGGTGTTCAGTATTCCATGGTAAGGGTTTGCATAGCATGATGCCCTGGGCTGAGATCAGAGACCTGTTGTGCTGTTCACAGTACAAAAAATAGTGAGGGTAGTGTTCTCCTGGGATCATAAAGGGGCAATTTTTAGAGGTATTTAGATACCATAAAATGCAAATTTAGGGTTGTGGGGTTTGGGGGCTTTTTTTTAATTAATGATTAGACAGAAAAAGGGCTACAGTATGAAACAGAATATCAGTACCTATTAAAAGAACTAAAGTTAGAGAGTAAACGATCCTCTGGACACTGTACCCATCCCTTCCCCTACATACAAAAACTCTTAGAAAGTGTTAACTTTCTTCTTTTAAGTAGAACTGGAAGTATTTTCAGCAAATACAGTACAAGAATTATACTTATGAATATTCTTCTTTTGCAGGTTTCCCCACTCATGGCATTTACCTTTTACAGATCTTGAACATAAAAGAGTGAAGGATTTGAATCTCTATCCGAAGCAGCTATTAAGTGGATCCAGGAAACTGTCTAATGTGAGCACTTCCAGTATATTTTATTTGCATATGACTTTTAATAGCATAGTACCAAAATATTCAGGAAGCTTTCCATGGCCTCATTTGAAAGAAAAAAATAAATTACATAAATGACACATCTTCTAATGCAGCTGATTTGAGATGAAGCCATTGTAGCATTGCTCAAAACTTAAGACAAAGACAATGAATGAAAAACGGTTTATTAGACCTGGCAGGGCATTTTTCAAAAAAACTTCTCTTCCTTTGCTGCCATCCCAAAGTAGCGATTCACTGAATTTTTGACAGTAAGGAGTAGGTTCTGAGGAATGTAACGTCTGAAAAATGGGTAAGTTCTGAAATATTGAAAAGTCTGATTTTGACAGTTTTTAACTGAAAAGTTCCATTCTTTCATCCCAGAAATAGTCTTAAATTCAAAATTTAGTTAACATGCAGAAGAAATTGTTTTGCAAACATAGAACCAAAACCAATATGCTTCAACATTATCAGAATGATATATTGTGTCCATTAAAATTGGTGTTTTCTAATTTTTTGTTCATTATTGTTTTCTAAGATTTGATGTTCTCCTCCTGTTTAAAAATGACAAGTAGAAATGGTAACAAACTGACTCTTCAGGCCCAGTACAAAGCCTTATGCACCTCAGCTTCATAAAAGCCAGGGTCAAGAGCAACTAACAGGTCCCATGCACCCAAGGGGACGTTAAATCATTATGCTGTATTGCTTCTGAAGTTCAATGGTCGATTACTGATAGTGACACCAGGATTTGAGAGAAAAGATCATCCACCAGTGACCAGCCATTGTCAGGAAAGCTGTCAGACAGTCAGGAAAAACAGTGTTTTACATTAGATCCTAGGCTTACTTAGACGCTGGTAAATTCAAGGGAGCCAAGGCACAAGCTCATGCGTTGACCCTGCTGTTTCACTGTTGGCACGTTCTCTAGCAGAACTTGGGCCTCTTCCAGGTAAGCCATGCCATGTCCCATGGCCTCGGGGCCATAGAACAAACCGAGGCTGGTTTGCTTTAATAGCATAGACAGTCTAGGATGCCAAAAGAAGGTACAACAGGATGTTTTTTCTCCAGAATTTCAAACATCTTGCAGAAAGAGAAAAATGTTTGCTGCCTAACTGTATAACTTTCCCATCTGTGACTGTGTAATGGAGATTAAAGAGGAAATTGTCCATATATAAAACAAAAAGGAGGTTTTTTATTAATATAAATATAAATTCTGTGCCCTGAGTTGAAACTGAGAAGATTTCTAAAGAGGATAAATATCTGTCTCACAGAGCTACACTTCATTTGGTATGGACAGCTGACATGGGTGCTTGTCTGTCTTGACTGACCTTGCCAAATAAACTGCACAAGTTGGGGATAATTGTTGAGCAATTTCTGTCACTCATGTTGGGGTCATGTGCTTATTTTACATTAACGCCTTTTGGTCACGGCTGAAGAAAAACTGATATAAACCTGTGACCTAGAAATGAAGAGCTCTGTATCTTCTGCTGTGCTCTGGGCGGTTGTAAGGTACACGGATTTTCAATTTGGGCCAAGCACTGCTGTGTAGAAGCCTAATCTACAGCTTAAAAATTAGACTGCTTGAAGCCCTGGGATAGTGATAAAAACATTTCCTGGCCATGTGCAGAAGCTCTCTTCTCCCTCCTGCTCCATGGTCTGTGAATGGGCTAGTGATCAGCCACAGCACGCTGCCTTGCAATGGGCTTCCTAATGCTTTTCCCTCTCCCTTTATGGTCCTGCAGCATGCACCCTCAGCGATGGTTAAGTTTTCCCAGCACATTGCTACTGGGACAGAACCATGAACAGGGTATTCAGAGGGGACTGTGGACAGATCTGCTTTGGGACATAAGCTCATGTGGCTCTGAACCAGCCCAGTGGGGCTATTCAGACATTCTGGACTACACAGTTGCTGAAATCTGTTCCAGTCTGGTAGAGTCTATAGTGCCAAACCATGAGGAGAAGAAAACAATTTTGAGCCTTAAGAGGGCTGCACAGCTACTGGTGTGCTGGACTGAGATGGCAAAATAATAAATGAAGTAATGAGCAGATTGTTTCCATCTGTAAAGTGCTATTGCATGTGGGAAATCATCTTGCTTATCACCATGCAGCTAACCTGCAATTCTAGATGACAACCTTTAAAGTTATTGATACTCTATAAACATTGAATCATAATTTTTATTTTAATATGCTTCTCCTGCTGGGAGATGTGAGAAATTTAGAAAATACTGGTGTGCTTTGACCCACTTAGAACAAGGAGACCAGTCAGTGGGTAATTTCCTTTGTATTCCCATCTGAAAGCTTCTTTTTTACTTTTCCCTTTGATATGAGTCTTTTAAAAGAGTCATGGTGTCTTCTTGGTTTTACTCTGAGCAGAAAGCCAAGCTAGGACGCTTTCTTGATAAAAATAAATACAATTATTTTGTCTCTCTTCATGCCTTGGACAACTTTGCAGTCAAATTTGTCCTTTTACTCAAAGCTAGGGACCCTGAAAGAAACCATTTAGTGAGTTGTCAGTTCTCAAGCATTTCCAAACTGTCATTCCTATGAAATAGTAAAACTATGAAGGAATAAACAATTAATTCTGAAATTTGTAAAGAAATCTTGTAAGAGCAGATACCTGTAGAACATGGTTCCCTTTACTTTCTTGACACAATAATTTCTTTCTGCTGAATTATACCTGCACAGTATTGTAGATGTATTGTGCTGTATGGTATGCTGGCGTACTGTCTGAGATGGAGAAGAGTTTTTATTTCATTATAAAATACTCCTGCTATCTCTGTAAACACATTATCCTGATTGACTAGACACCATTTTCAACTCTGAAGTTTAGTCCAGTCCACACAGGACTGACTACATGCTTGGTCCTACCAATTAAGTAAATAAAATTCCTAGAAATAAAGAAAGAATTGGATTATATCCAAATTCCTTCTTCAGTCATGCCTTAAGTGCATGCTTTTTAGTCCAGGCTAAGTTCTGATTATGAAAATTGTCTTACAATTAAGAGTATGTCAGAATGTCGCTGACCTTTTCTGCTAAATGGTTTGAATAAAGGAGGAGCTGTGGAAAATAGCTGCCTTATCAATTGCACTGTAGCTCAAATGGAATTAAGTTTCTTTAAAGAATAGAAACTTCAAGCCACTTTTCTGTATCTTTGAATTTTAGTATCAGATCCAGTAAATGCAGAAACATCAGCTGATGGAGATACTTGCTATTGGGCCTGTTTAAATGCTTAAATGTGTTCATGGCCATCCCTGATCAAAGCAGATTTTAAGTCTGTGATTTCCTTTGAGCACAAGCCTCATTCATTGACTTCTTAGACATTTGTTGAAGAGTTGCCTAATAGAAGTGCTTTTCCTAAATTCAAGTTAACACCTGGTTATAAATAACTACACCACCAGACTGTATACATAAACAACAAGCTATATTCATTACATCAGTCACTAAAATCCAAAAGTTGATCCATGTTCATTGTCATACAGGATCAAAAACAGGTTTCAGCACCTTTTTTAGTTTCATTCCATTCCTCTCAAACCAGTGGCAACATATGTGATTATACTGTAAGAATATTTAGTTTTGTGCCAGTTGCACCATTACTGAGTGGCTCATCAGCTGCATGGGTTGAAATGCCTGGGTCTTCTAGTTCAGCAAGGCAACATACTCAACTGCATTTACACTTCTGGGATTTTGCTTCATTAAATGGCAAAACAACCAAGTGGGGCCACCAGTAAGAGGTGAAGCATCAAGAAACAATAAATTGAAGGTTGGTAACATGGAGGAGGACAAAAATATACAACAAAGTACAAATCAAATCTGTGACAGAAGGCAGCTGCTGCTGACCACTTCTACATTTTTCTCTATTTCACTCTTAACTCCAACAGAGTGATGAGCTGAGTGGAGATTGAAACCCAAATCTCATTAAAAAATCATATAAATTAGGCCTGCCTTAGTGGCATGTCATTTTACTGCTGTATTTTAGGAGGGTTGTACACTCCCTAGGGACACAAAAGCAAGGTAAGTCTCCATCAATTTACTCTGCTCCTGGCCCTGGTGTAAACAGCAGCATTCACAAAGCTGAATGTCTTCATGCTTATCTTGAAAAGACACCTTGTACCTGGCTTAGACTTTACAAGTGAAAAATCTAAAACTGAAGCTAAAGCAATGTTTTATATAGCAACCGTGTGCATTTAGTACCATCAGCCAGATAGTAACATTCTATGGATAATCTTCCCATCTCTTATCATTTAAAAGTTGCATTTAACTTGTGGATAGTATCGATAACACAGCTCAGACACTAGGTGTACATACCAATCTTGCAAAACTACGTACCCTTAAATATATGTTCTTTGTCCCACGTCTTTCACATAGAATGGGTTTGTGTTCAATCTCAGCGGGCTTGGATGTTTGAGGGGGTTTGTTTATCATGGGTGTGGGGTTGGCAAGTGTAATAGTAAGTACAAGTGCACAGTAGGCTAATCAGTGAAAAGAAATGTATATTGGCTTTTGACTCTATAAAAAATTTCTAACTCTCCAAGTTAACTAAGGACTTTGGGGCCAAAGATAAACCTAGTGCAAGCAGGTAAGCAAACAGTGCCAGTGTGTCAGCTTTGGATAGGTTTTGTAAACAGCTTTATGGAGACTTATAGGCTGTGTAAAAAGACTTTAAAGAGCATGTAAATGGAAACGATTGTAAATTATGTTCACTCATTTTCAAGCATACAGTGAAAACCAGGACCACAGTGTTGTTCTAGAGTGACTAATGTTTTACACTGTAAAAGTAATCAAGTTTGGTAAGAGCTTCCCATATTTCATCTGTATTTTATTCACTAGTGCTACTTGGGATTTGCAGAGATGAGAAAATAGCTCCCACGGTGCCTGTATATAGATGTATAACACGGTGGTACAAAGTGCATCCAAGGTATGTGGGTCCCTTAAACTCCCACCACTCACACTCCTGCAGCAAGACATCCAGCAGAGCCAAAATGGGGAGGGTTCAAAGTCCTCTCTTTTCCACTGTTCTTTCCTGAAATTACAACAGCAACAGCAAGGTCAGGTTTTTCTAGTTTCTTTCATTCCTGCTGTTTCCCCATCCTGTTAAAGTATAACAGGTGCATGGGTGTTCTCTGACCCCAAATCTACTCTAACACAGCTGAAAAGAAAGCTGAAAGCAGAGGAAAGGCTGTTTTTCTTTCTAATGAAATTAAATCTGGCTTGAAAACTGGCTGTATTTCACTAATAGCAGAGTACTTTTCTAGTCAGTCTGATGGAGAGCAGTAGACAAATTCTACTGTGCTAAAGTGGTAAAGGGCTGTGCCAGCTCTCTTGATGCCACTGAAATTGCTTATTTCACTTATATCCTAGTTAAGTGAAGGGGGAACTTGTCCTTTTTGAGTATAACGGCTGAAAAAAGGTCATGTGTGAGCTTAGCCAGACCAACACTGAAGCACCCATACATATCTGTCCACTCCCCAATAGGCTAAAGCTATTGAGTGACTTGGAAAAGTATCAACATTACCTATTAAAGATTGTTGTCTTATAGGCAAGAGTGGTTAGGCAAATGATAGAAGACTTTCCTAAAAACTCCTAAATGGGCAGTATCTTAGGGAATTTCCATTTCTGATTTAGAGGTAAGAATTCCAGGGGAAAAAAAGGGTAGGTGAGTGCTTGTGGTCATCCTCAGTGCCTGCCCCTCTGCTGAGACTGTCACAGCGTCTCTAAGAGTCCCACATATGGTCACGTCTTTGTAACAGCAATTGTTTGTTTAGAAGTGGACTCTATGCACTTAAATACAGTGTGCTGTTGATCATACATATGTTCAAAGCTTTAATGTGTTTATTTCTATTTAGCAGTGTAATTAGACGCATACTTTAAGCATAGGCTTCAGTCCCATTGACTGGGGTCCATCTGGTTGAAGTCCTATTGATTTAGGAATAATATAAAAGTTCAGAGTGTGCTCTGGTGGTCTGCTGACAAACAGTGAATTTAAAAAGGTACTTCCACACTTTGCTGATGGGAATGTAAACAGTGGACTCCTGCAGTAGGTGGATTAACACAGCTCAGGGAGAAATTCTGTCTTATGAAAAACAATGTGCAAAAAGCTTACTGCCACAACCACATAGGAGATCTCCCTCATTGCTTTTGAAGCACTTTGCCCTGAATAGAATGCTACATCTACCCCTGCAACATGACCTGTTCAGTTATGATTTTGCATTCCATTTGCCAACATTAGACTTGCTGCTTCCCCACATTTCAATACCTGTTGAGTACAATGGACACACAGACAAGGAAGTGCTGTGGCACCAAGAGTGTACATGCCTATTGTGTTCATGCCTAAAATCTACATGAATTCCACTTCTGTACTTAAAGCAAATGTGATTTTTTTTTCAGTGTTGTCTCCTTTAGAAATGAGAATTTGGAACTATCACCTGAAACAGTCTTTGCACCTCCTGTTTACAAACCTCATATATTTCCATTTATTGCTGAAAGAGTAAGAGGAAGCAGAACACCAGGCTGCTCAGCGTGGAATTTTTTATTTCTCTTTCAAGTCAGTTAGTGTATCCTTCCTTCCACCTCCTGCCCACTTCTCTCAAGATCTTTGAACTCAAAGGGATACTTAAGTTTCTCCGTGAATTTTCATGCTGTCATATAAAGGCTGAGCTGCCAAAAATACACAATTTCAACCCTTGAGATTTCCTACATTTGGGACTTGTGCTGAAAGAACAAATAGAGGTCCCACAGGGAATAACTCTGCTGTTTAAAGCTAGTGGAAGCTGCTGAAGCAGGTGTATGGGCTTTCCCCTTGTGAGCTATCTTCATGAGATGAGAGAATAATTGTCATTCTCAGAACAGACAGGTATATTGGCAATCCACTGCTAATAGCTTAAGGATTTGTCATTCAATTCAAATAAAACAATTCTGTTGGTGTATCCTTTTTTTCCCCCCTGATTTTTCTTTTAAAGAAAATATCAGTGTGGGACAAAAAAATACAAACAGTAGCGAAAAATAAAATGCAATTGCTAATATAAATCCGGACTTTTAAACCTTATCTCTATGCCAAACATATACATCTTGCTCCTCTGTCTGCTGTAACCATGTTCACTCCTCACTAGCTGTATTTGTCACTAAACTCAGCCTTTTCTTTTTTCCTTGCACAAATCATGCCACATCTTGTCAAATTGAAACAAGACAAATGCTGCATGAAGTACATCTTGCCGATAAGAGACACATTATTTTCCATTGCCTGAAAAAAACAATGGTGACATTTTAATGCTAGAATCTGAAAAGTCTGTTGTTCTACCCATTCATTACAGTGTCAGTCCAAGTAACATCAGTATGAATGTAGTGATTCTAACCATCTTAAAGAATGGCCATTCTGAAATATGGCTTTATGAAAAAGCTAACAAAATGCAATTACAGCACATCTTTGATTCAGGATCATAAGAGTCCATTTCAGAATTCACATTTTTATTGCCTTGCACAATACTCAAATCTGGGAATTTGGTTTATTGTTTTAATTCTCTACAGCTGAATGTAACTACCTGTTATATATGTTCACTAGAGCAGTACAGGTCAGTACATAAAAATAAAAGTTATAGTGCAGTACATAAGGTAGATAATAGGATGGCAAAATATGATCATCCTTTTCACTCCCTGTTGGTTTCTGGTAGGAGTTAACTCTGTATGGAGCTTTTCAGTGTGAGTGTCTATTAAGCCACCATGTGAGGGAAGTATGCTTGGGGTCAGTCCTGTGCCAGGGTTAAATTTTATGCTGACTACACAATACACAGTAAAGATGTTCTCTTGCATTTGTTTCACAGATGGACTGCTCTGTAAAAGTAGTTGCAGCTGCTAATACATATTTTGAGACACTGGAGATGAAGCAAGAATGCAAATTTATGGCCCACGTGGCACATTGCTGTTTCTAAGTGCATTGACGGAAAGGGGTCAGGTAGGTACCAATGCAGCATCTCTGAGACAGTGGTAAGGGGCACCATTGTCTTCCTAGTGCCTCTGTAGAAATCGTTCCCTGGGATCTTTGCCCATGATCAGAGGCGAAACGCTTCCCTTTATTGCTAACTCAAATATATAGATTAGAAGCCTAGCAGCAATCTGCTCGAAGAGGAGTAATTTATGGCACAGAGCACAACATGTGATATTCCCTAAAATATTTTCATTTTTCTTTCAGAATGAGCTTGTACTTGGCTTCTTCCTGAATTGGTGCAAAAATACCTTGGCAGAAGATTCATCATCTGTGACCTTAGGTATGTGGATTACCAATCTTACTTGTTTTCTAAGAAGGACTTCTTTAATAATATTAAATGGAATAATGCAAAGGTGAGTCTGAAGTGTTCAGGTGCCTTTTTTTTTTTTTTTTTAATATATAAATATACCAACAAATTATTTCTGATTTCTCAAGGTCTCTGAAAAATGTGTTAGTAATGTGACCCATAGGTTTCTTTCCCTTTGACATATTCTCCCAAGCCTTTCTTAATTTCTTTTTAAATAAAAATACCTATATGCAAAGTAAAACTTTATTTACACAAACTGTGGCAGTTTTCTTGTTTTACAAAACAAAATCTTTAGAGAAGAATCTGGAGGAAAGGATCTGAGTCATGACAAAGCACAATGTGTGCTTGGACAAGCAAAGAAAATTAGGGATGACTTTTAAAGTCATTTTCACAATGAGCAGAGCAGGTAAATAACAGAACATTATGTTAATGCCTAGGCATACATTATTAATGATAGTGGTAATTCACTTCCTACTAAATGAGATTCTGCATCGTTCTCTTAGCCTATCTAAATACTGAACCTATTTCCCTCTTATGTCCAGTGCCTAATTTAATCTAATTTCTGGCATTACAGCATAAAGAGCTAAAGCATAAACCATAAAATATATACTATGAATGTTTATTGTCTTCCACTGCACTAGTTCTGCCCTGAAAATAATCTTCCATAGTCAATTTTTAGACAAAATAAAATCTCATAAAGAAGCCTATGGCTGCACTCTGCACTACAACAGTTCAGCTGGTTGTTATGTGCCTCAAGTGATAGGCTAGTTTCCAAGATCACCACTTATCCACATTTCAGAATGGAGTGCAAGTATTTTTGCATATTTAGTTTGCATGTCCATTAAGTTAATTTAATCTCTCTGCAGACAGAGGCTTCATTATCTCTTTTGCTGGGACCATCTTTTTTAATCCATCAGGACAAGATAAATCCCATTCTGGCTCCTCAGCCTTTGGAAGATTCCCTGTGTAGAGTTTATTTGATTAAGACATGCCATTATCATATTAAAACCATTACCACTCTTGGAAATTACTAATGGTTGCTCTAACTTTTACAAAGGAGCAAGGAGATAATGCAAAGATGTCCTAGGTGTTAGGAATATACAAGGCTAAATCTTGTCACAGAAAATCCAAACCAGACTTTAACCAAAGATGCAGATATGTGATTGAGCTGATGTATAAGGGAGTTAAAATCCCAGGTCTTTAGAAGGATTTTGATACTTCACTAATATTTAAGTGCCTAATTATTGCTGCAAATCTGGGTGTAAAAGTCTTATACAAAAGCATGAACTGAGTCTGTAATAAAGTTTAGAAATAAATTACCGCCTCATAATTCCTACAGTTGTGTCCCAAGTCAATATAGTCTGGAGGGTAAGCCCTTTATTTCTGTTGTCAATGACATCAAAATCAGAGAAGAGAATAAAGAAACAGAGGTAAGAATGTGTTTATTAGGTGTTTGATGAAAGCTATGTGACAGGTAACCCAATCAGCTGGTTCATTATAGTTAGTGGAGGTGAAGGTGACAACCTGGCCTCAAGGATATGATTACAGAGGAGTTATTTTTTTCCTGCTCAAGAACTCTGCCTTTTAAAGTTTGGACTCCAGTTCTAGAGTCAGGGCAAAACCTTTTTCTTAACACAGGAGGAAAAAAAAAAAAAAGCCACAAAAAAAACACTTCCCTTTGGCCTAGAAAATTCATCACTATAGAATACCAGTAGCACATAAGCTCCATATTCAGGACCCAATGAGTTTATACTCTGTAAAAACAGAGAACAAGAATAATGAGTTGAGTTGCTCTGCGTGTGCACTACTTCTGGTCAGCGCAGAAGGGAATGCACCTCGTCGACAGTCGATTGCAGTGAACTGTGGAAAAAGGCAAGTTCAGCTGTAAATGAGCTAGCTCAGCTATCAGAGGAGGACCAGCCAAGCATGTGCTAATTACCGACCTGAAAAATTATTTTCATATATTTTTAGTCTATGCTTTGTCCCTCGTTGTTGGAGTTAGGCTGCTGCCATACCCTAGGTAGCTCACTCAGATCTTTGCTTCATGGCATTCACCCTGTTATCACCCACCCTGTGAGAAGGAGAATGCTCAAATCCAGCTGAGGTGAGAGGTGGCTGATCATGCCAGGCTGCCAAGTATCAAACAAGGAGTTGCTGGGAAGAGCACAGTGGTCCTAGAGGCTCTTTTTTGCTTGATTTGAAAGAAAGCCCTGTAGTAATGTCATAGTCACTCTGGAGCAGGAATTAAGTTCATTGAGCCTGCAGGTGAGAAGCAATTTTCATGAAAAGAATACATCCTTCCCCTACAGCTTTCATTGTTTTATGAGCTTATAAGGGCCTTAATTTTTGCCTATTTTCAAGAATAACTCACGTTTAATATGGGCTGTAGCTTTCTATGAATGGTGATTTCTCTCTCAGCCTTTACACAAGCAAATCATCTGTCTCTTAGTTAGGATCAATATAAAATAAAATGAATGCCCAATAGAAGCAGGTTATGAATTTTGATCGGGACAGCATCTTTCTCTTACACTGCTTTAATTTAGAAATGTTGTAGGTAATTACACTTACTAAAGTAAAATAAAAATTAAAATTTATGAATTTGTACTGTGCTCCTAGCAATGAAGAGATTAAAAATCAGTGCTAAATTTACTTTGACATGAATACTGATTCAGTACTCCCAGTGGGGTGAATTCTGAATTATACTGAAAGTTGTCGGCATTTCATTATACCAAGCTCACTACAAGGGAGTGAGAGCAGATATCAGAAATTATTTCATAGACAGCCTTTCATAAAGGCCCTTTAAAAAAAAAAAAAAAAAAAAAAAAAAAAAAAAAAAGGAAGAAGGAAAATCTATAAAAAACATTTTTATATCAATCTTATTTATTTTTCTTCTGTTGAGTTTATATCTCCGGAAAATATTAATAATTCAGACTGTTTTGCCAAAATTACAAAACCATGTAGTCTTTGCTATTTGTTATAATAGTGCACAACCCAGGTCCAGTTCTGGCATGTTTGATTACTGCTCCATGCATTTCAGTGGGCTTCTGTCCATTTAGTGCAGGAGAGGAACTGTCTCTCTGTTCTTCTAAAGGAAGATCCAAGCTTTCCAAAAAGACTATCATATGGTACAGCTCTCCATGCAGAATCGCAGTGCTTATGAATAGTCCCTGAGGACAGTGGGCTATTTTGCTCATGTTATGTAGTGTTTCGATCCGCTGCAGTTGCTCGTTCTCAATTGAAAACTTTTACCACAAGCTGCATTCCTACTTTAGTTGCATTTAGGCTCTTCCTGGCTTGCAGGACAAAACCAATGTGATAGTCAGTTAATGCATTTACAGCGGACTATCTGACGTTGGGTACATTGTAGGCTCAAAAACCCAAGCTGTAGCTAAAGCAGGCAGGTGGTTGGCTTGGGGCATTCAACCCTGGCCCTGGAAAACCAGGCAGGTTCTAGTACCCTTTGGTGCCAGATATCAAAAGAGGCTGTCACCAAGAAGAAAGGTTAAGAAAAATCTGAGGGTAGAGAATACAGATTAATACTTAACTTCCTAACAGTAGTGCTGTGACAGTTAATTAGTGTTTTCACATTGCTTTGCAGTCCACGTGTGAAATTTAATGTATTATTAAACTAAAATTTCCCTATTGATTTTGTCAGTCTTCTGTGTAGCATCTTCCTTGCTGTTTATATTTCTCGTGCATTGTGCAAAGTTTAGTGCAGAGCCTATTTTAAAGTGCTGCTAATGAAAACATTGCACAAATGATAGAATACAGATCTGGTAGTTCTCCAGCATGCTAGGAAAGACCATCTAGGTAAAGAAAATAGCTACATACTTGACTACTCTGAAAATTATTTCACCTTTGGTAGAAATTTGAACACTAATTGCCTTAATTCTGTTACTCAAAAAGAAGAAAGGACCCACAGTTTTCTACTGTTTATGTTCCTTGGTAAAACAGATTAGAAACTGGCACAGTGGGTCTTTCTGCAGTATGGTTTGGTGGCTAACTTCCAGTGCAGAGTGCTGGGACACACAGGCACAAGTTGTATAGAAAACCGCTATAAGTTCTCCAGAGTCCTTGCTTGGTATTTGACAGCTTCTGTGTTGACATCAGTGAGTGAAGAATCAATCTTTGCAGGGAAATCTTGCTTCAGCTGAAGCCAGTGCAGCTTTGTGCTGTATCAACAGACCACCACTTGGTCTTTGCCTACAATGGAGTGCAAGTAGAGCATGACCGTTTCTAAAAATACAGGGCCTGAGCTCATGTCCATCTGCCCAAGCTGGATAGACTGGAAGTAATTACTGTATGTGTATTTTATTAGCATTTGAAGCTAAAATCACCTAGACTTCAAAGAGGCTATGATTTAGCACTGAATGTGGGAAAACCTAAAATGTAACGGCTGAGTGTAGCTAACAGTAACTGTCTTTTATTATGAAGTATAAGTGATAGAATTTTCTTTCATGTTTATCAGATTCCCTGAACTCTGTTAATTTTTTTTCTTTACCTTCCTTTTATTTATTTTATGCTTTCCATCAGTGCTCGATTTATTACATAGCAAGAGCAAATATTTTAACAATAGCCGTGCCCATAGTGTCTGTTTCAGACTTCATATTGCATACTCAATTAGAAATGCATTTTCCCCTCCCATGTTTTTCATTATTTTCAGCTTGGTTAGAAAGTTATTAACATTTCTTTTTTTATAAATGAAAACACCAGCTCCCACAGAGAAATTTCTCAACTCAATATAAGCACTCACACTAGAAAACTTAAGTACTGCAGAAAAAAGCCTTGGTAGTGCTAGTAGAGGAGAAAAACCATGGTGCTCAGCTGAATTTTAGTGATGTAATGTAGCCTCTGAAATCTGTCACTCTTGCTGAACTTCTCAGGGTGACCCGCTGCAATTCACAAAATTAACAGAGCCCCACAAATGAATTGTGTCCTTACCTTAAAATATAACTCTCTTTGTGTTACATGGTCTTTAATGCTCTAGGATTCTACCTTCCCTATTGCAACTTTAAAGGAAGAAGGCCCCACAACTTAAAAATTATTTTGCATGGTGGAGGGAAGAACCAATTTTTGTGGGATTTTTGTTACCCTGGGAAAAATTCATCATTGACTGGTTCATGGAGTTTTCATCCCCTATCCCTCCCTGTCATTATTTGCATACAGCAAGAAATGAAATGAGGTACAGTCTGGCTAAGTGATTTGTCAAAGTTCATAATAACAACTGAAGAACTGTACCTCGGTCTTCTAAGTCCCAGCTTAGTGATTTCTTCATCAGATCTCAATTCTTCAAGAGTCTGTTTCAGGGTCTTCTCTATTTACGATGTAATTAAAAATGTATTTTTTGTAGTCTCTAAATGGAAGAAATTGGAGATGGATTTGTATTTTAAAATTCCAGTCCAAACATCAGAAACTCAGAGGTGTGGGTATCCAGGCTGCCTGGAAAAATTATATTATGGCAGTATGTACACACTGTGTTATTTTTTAATTCATTTGAATTCCTTTCCTTAGGATAAATTCCTATCCTTAGGATAAATGGCAATTGAACTAGCTCTCTGGCTGTCAATAGTACCTGACACCACTGTAATTTTGTCTGCTTAGTGGTTATTTTAGCCTCTGTTCACTCTAGAGGTTACACATTTGGTTTCTTCAGAAAAATACAGATAACGTGGCTTATGCATTATAACTTCCCCTCTGCTGCCTCCTCTTCTGAACAGAGTAAAGGCTGAGGACAGGGGGGTTGATTTCCTGCTCTTGCAACCTGTCTGTAAGAGCTCTAGTGCACATGTGGAAAAGAGAGAGCAAGAGGGCGACAGAGAGTGCACAGGTGTCTGCTGAGGCTGCGAGGAACATGTTGGAATCCTGCCCGCTATTAAGGATGAACAGTCCTCATACTCTATAAAAAGCCTCTTATTCCTAGTGCATAACCCTCGTGGGTGATGATAGTTCTTTCAACCTCATCATCCTTTCTTATTCCTTCTGCTTCTTGAAAGATATGTTTCTATTTAAAGAATTAATTACAACTATATTGTTTTGTCTCATGTCATCTCCTCACCCTGTGGTGGGTTTAGTGCTGGTGTGTCAGTGACAGATCCCCATGTGCATGCAGAGGAGCAGGAATTTTCTGTCTGGGGTCTCAAGGTCAGCTACTCCTTTAACACGGAGATGGGCAGAACAGAGCCCACCTCATGAGAGATCACTGTTTTGTTATAAGGTTAGCAGGATTGAGTTCTTATTTTTCCAGGTGGAGTAAATATATAATACTGGTTGTAGTACAGGTTAGGTCTAATTAAATGAAGCCCTGTTTGCATGAGAAAACCAGTCTAGTTCACGCAGGCAGTGTCTGGTCTGTCTTTGATGATGACCACAAGGGAAGAATCCCAGGTCTCAGACCAAGTAGTGCAAAACGGCTCGTGTCCACCCCGCTCAGGCTTGCCACCACAAAATCATGAGGTGAGATAGGTATCAAGGAGAGGTGGTTGTGTTCACCATTACCTGGTATACTGTGGTAAAACCCATCTATATTTTCTCTTCTCTTTGTGGGGCAGGTAAGCTGCGTTACTTACCCAAATTCAAGGACACACCTTTTTGGCAGTGGTTGGCTTGATGCCTCCAGCCAAAACAGGGAACAGGATATGCTTAGTCATTTCTTACACATTATGAGACTGATCCTTCTTGCTTGGAAACTGAAAAATATGTTTATTCAGTGGGAATGGAATCAAACTCTGTAAATGCATCCTAGTAGAAAAACATATGAAAGCAATGCATTGCATGAAAACCATCCTGGAACAAGGAAAAGACAGAATGAGGAAGGGGAAATTTATATATGTGATAGATACAGATGTTGTTTCTGTAACAGTTGTTTTGGAACTGGTCAGGAAACTTGCTCTTTTTTTCTTTTTTTTTTTTTTCCCTTTCTGCTGGGAAAAAAAAAAATCCAGTGTTCTTAAAGAGACAGAAGAATTGCAACAATACTAACTAGTGTCATCAGTGATTGCCTGCCCTCAATTAGTTGTTACTCAAGGATAAATTTCCCACTGAAGTTCAGATTGATGGCAATTAGAAAACAAAATGTCTCACTGTCAATGGATAAACAGGAAAGAAAATGAGCACTGCATGTCAGACCACTTTCTTCTATCTCACTCCTTACCTGTGTTTTCTAATTTCATCCCTGATTTATGAATGCAATAGGTTCTTTTTATATATTAGTTAATGTGTACTGCAATATTTTACAGATTTACTTCTGCTAAGGTGTTAACTAAAAAAAATCAAACTAGCTTGTCTTTTTTTAGGTCCTCAGTCAACTGATCATAAGCCTGGCCATAGCCTATGAGAACACCCATCTGACAATAATGTTGAAACATGAGAAACATTGTATTTTTTAATCATAATTTATAATTCATAAATCCCTGCATTTGTAGACTACTGTGAAAACATAATTCACAAACACCCTTTCGAGGATAACTAATTTTAATTCAAAATAATGGCGATGTTCTGCATTATTTAAGACTTGCTTTCTTCCTTTGAGCTCGCTCAATATGGTTACAAGTATGGGGCAGACACAGAAACGGGGTTTCTTTAATGGCTGGTAATGGCCTTTTCCGGGCCATATAGAGAACCAATTTTTATGACTGTTTTGGCTGTTTCAGTTGATGCATTTTGATACCAGTTAGACATAAGGCATCATGCAGTGGCATGACTTTTTGTAGTATGTCAACCTGGGGTTATTGACTGATAATCCATACATTTCTTTCAAGTCTGGCATTACTGGTCTATGAACAGGGAAGAGCTCAGCAGAGTATGCTGTATTTTAAGAAGCAATGTAATTTGTGGGGTGATGCTCAGCTTTGTAACATGCTGTCTGTCACAAATCTAACTGGTAAATGCTATGCTTTCCTGGAGCCAGACTAGGGGAGAGGGAAGCTGGCAGTGCTCCCACAGAACAAGACAGGTGAAATTGGCTGCTGAGGATATCTCAAGAGGTCTAGCTGGTGCTGTGTGCAATCTCTCGGCTGAAGCAGCCTGTCTGCTGTTTCATAATGAGTTTGGCTGCCTAGATGTGCTCTTGAATTCCCGATTGCTCATGTCTCAAGTAACGGCTATGGCAAAGAGATCTTTCATTGTCTTTGTTTAGCTAGGACATTAAAGCATTTAACTGTTGCAGGTTCTCCTTGCATACACTGATGCTGCCTCCATCCCAAACTGTATTGCAATTGCTTTCCCTAAATGGGGCCAAACTGAGGAGCTTATATGAGCACCAGCCAGCCATAAAATGAGGCTGAACGTTTAATTAGTTGTATGAGACACATGACATTTATGTAGCTCCAACTGTTCTCTGTTGGCTGCTCTGGCTTTTGTTTTGCAGTTCAAGAATGTTCATTTTGGTCTATAACATCCAATAAGTCTCTGTGCCAAGAGACTTGTCTTTTGTTTTCTGTGTGCCACCTTGACAGGTGAGATCAGCCTCCACTGACAGGTCCAATTTATACAAACGTTACCTTCAGGACCTAATGTAAGACAGTCTTTAATTTTTCTATTGTGCTTTTTAAAGCTAAGTGACTTTGATAAACTTCTGGTAAAGTTCTAGTTGGTGGGAGGGGTATATTTACGTGATTGTCATGCTGATGATATCACTGTGAGTTCAGACAGGTGATGTGAAGATGCACATAGAGCTACAGATGTTGGAAATAGCCTTCCTCCTTGTTTCCATAATTTTTAGTGTATAGGCTCCTAACTGTTTTTTAGTTTAGAAAGTTCCAGCCATTTAATTAAATGAAATAAATTACAGCATAGATAGCTATGTATAGTAAAAACTAAAATCTGGGGTTTAGTTCACTTTGTTGTAGCAAGGGACAATACAACTTTAAGTTATTGTTTATCTTTTGAAAGTAGATGACTTAAATCCATTTTAGCGAGTTTGCAGAGAAGTCTTAGGAGTCCAATTCAGTAAGACTAGCAATGATTCATGACTTGAAAATAAGGTCATTGTTTTACCAGCCTAATTTAGTCAATCGTGATTTTAAATCCTGGGCTTCGAATTCCTTCCTTCCATCCGGCCATCCATCCATCGTCATCTGATCTGAAATATGAAATAGTAGTGCTTTGGGGTACTGTGATGCTAGACTGCCTTCAGACTAGCTACCTATAACAAAAAGGTTCTTTACCCCATTAATAATCTTCTCAGCTTTCCAGTCATATAGATCAATCTCTCTGACCATTTTCTTTTTCCTTTCCTCTGTTTTTTTGGTTTGTTTGTTTTTTGTTTTTTTTTTTTGAGCTGAACATGGATTTTAAAAGTATGCCAAGATCATATCTTATTCAGGACATGTTAGAGCTATTTCAGGTATATTCAGTCACTCACAGAGTCTCACTAATTATATTTTAGTGGTTCATCTGTGCAGAGATTACTTTGCTATCTTGTTTTATTTCATAATTTAGAGTAAATAATTTTTGTGCTGCTCTTTCTGATTTAATTTATCTCTTTATAGAGATTTTATGGTGTGTTCAGATGTGAAAATAATTGTAGTGGGCCAAATTAATCCTAAATGTAGCTTCACAGAACTGACAGGAATTGTGATAGAGGCTTTTGATCCATGTAAATAAATTTTATTTATTATTTGTGTGTATTTACTTCTAGGGGTTTAAAAAGGAGATCTAGATCCTGTTGTGAAAATCCTATATTAATATACAGTGCACAAGAAAGTCCCAAAAATGTGCTGGTTTTTATAGTCATTGTCAAGTGTCACACAGGTTTTTTAAAAGACAAAGTTGAAATAGTGCAATTCTATAACTTTGCACGGGGTTTTTTTCATGAAGCTAACACCATTCACGTCAGATGTCATAGACAAAAAACACTATAGCAGTTGAGAAAGTATTGGTGTGGTGCAGAGCTGCCAGAGGACTGTCTCATGTGGGTGCATGCATGGACTCCACTTTTGATTTGATGCATCCACACGTGCCAAATTTGCTGCAGATGTACAAGTCAGTCATCCCTAGATCTGCTTCATAATGTCCTCTCCCTTGTCCTCTCATCAACATTTCAGTCATGTGTTACAAAAGCCAGTCCTGCTTGAAGAAAACTCTAGAAAAATGTTTCAAAAGCCAGCAATGAAGGACAGCCTTATAGATTTTGTGACTGGAAAGGGCCATTAACCTAATCTAACCTCATGTAAAGCACAAGCTGTTTTTTTTCCATTGAGAAAATATTTTCATCTAGACCAGCAATGCAGAAGGAGAAACTGTTTGAACAGAGAGTTGTAGGGCTGGTTGCAAACATTTGTCTGCAGTTTAAGACTGTGAGTACATGTGAAGACATGCTCTGTTAAATAGATATTTATAAAATACCAACAGTGTTTTGGTTTCAAGATTTTCCTCAGAAATTCGTAATTTTATCTGAATCCTGAGATTCTGTAAGTCAGGTGATTAACATCAGACTCACTGCTTCTACTTACGATTTGAATGGCATCACCATGACTGCTGAGGAAAAAAAAATTAATTCTAATTTTCAAACATACAGAAGCCGTGTTGCTAATAAAATGCAATTTGCCAAACATGTATATTACATAATTTTAAGTCAGCCTCTTGGGGCATTACTTGCTCCACTCAAATGCAGAGTGGAACACTGGGTGCTTTATGCATAGGCTGTACAGGTAATATTGCCTTAATAAAGTGAAGGTGAGCTAGAAGAAAACCTTTGTGTAGGGATGAAAACCTTAGAGGTTATATGGAAAGACCAGGAGAGCTTGTCTCTGGAGTCGTGGAGGATGTGGCAGCTGGAGGGTGTGAGATAGGACAGGCTTCTACACAGTAGCATAGTACTTGGCAAAGTGCTCTTAGGAGGAAGATACAGGAGCCCCAGGGAAGGTTTGTTTTGTCATGTGAAAGGACTTGTTAGCTAAGAACAAAAGCAGTCCAGTTGTGGCAGCACAACACCCAGAAAAGCAGCAGGAGGCACGATGAGGAGCACAGGGGCAGTGCTAGGAAGTCTGAGAGTCTACCTTAATAACATAGACTCCTAGGTCTGTGTAGAAGCTGTGGAGGTGGATTTATGAAAATTGAAAGAGTTGTAGGTTTTGAACTTGAAATGCTCAAGTGCAGTTTCATTCATCTGCATTAACCAACACAGAGAATAATGATATCAAGACCCTACCAGACCTTACATAGAGCAAACTCTGGGTTAGCTTAGTCCTGCACAGCCAGAAGCAGCCAGGCTACCTGCTGCGGTACTGCTGGGCTTGCTCATCTGTTCAAAAAGGCACCAGAGGCAAAAGAAATAGCCATTTCTGAAGTTCACAAAGATTGGCTTATATATTTCTTTTCTTGCTTCACAGAGAACCAGAAGGGAACAGTGGTTCAGTGCTGGCTCAGAAGGAAATCTGCTTTGTCTGCTGACTTCATTGCCATGACTTCAGGCATGCCCTGTTTTTCTAGATAAGCAGCTAAACTTTCAGTCCTCGCTGCTAAACAGTTTTGCCCATTACTTGTTGTGGACCGAATAACTCCTCAGGGGTAGTGAGGAAGAGAAACTTGAGGAAAGCCAACTTATCCTGAACTTCATGCCAATAAATGTAAAATGTTACTAGAATTCAGGGAAGTGTGTGTGGGTGATGAATTCAGAACCAATTTTACAGGGGGAAAATTTGCAGGAAGAAAAATAAACTCCTATAGTACTTTCCAAATTTTTATAAAAGCTCTGAAATTGTCATGTACTGCTGTGGCAGGTGCGCCCGCCCAATGGCAATAGGGCTTCTTGGCTGCTGAAGTGTAGCAGCTCCCAACTGCCTCTGCTCTCGGGGCCTCACAGTAGTTGGGGCCTTTGGCCAACGGGAGCCGCTATGGGATACAGGTCAGACTGGGCCTGGGTATCAATGGAGTCCCCTGGAGGAGCCATTGGAGCTCGTCCTCTGGGGCAGCACCTGTGATTGAGGACTCTCCCCTTGGGTCCGGATGCCGCCCAAAGAAACTCCATGAGGTGACTTGGCTCAGGACGCTGCCCTGAGCTGGTCCTTGAGGTTGAGAGTCCTCACTTGTCAGGTGTGTGATAGAGCATTTTGGGATAAACTCTAGGGAGTGGTGCTTTGTTCTGGGATTTGGGTTGTTGTTAAGCCCTAGGAAATTGTTCTGTTCTGCTCTCACAGAAATTTGAACCTGTAGTTTGCGGTGGGCTAGTTAATTGTGTGAATAATAAATTTTAAATTTTTGGTGGTTGCTTGTTTATTTGAGAACCTCTGTAACAATCACTCTTGATGATTAATGATTCTGGGATAGCTGATATGTAGGTGATAAATTAGTAACCAGCTTTAGACTTACAGAGATATCCAGCCTCTTTCCACTTCGTGTCCTACACCACCCAAGTAGAAATTGCTTCAAAAATGTTTGTGAGACACGATGGCTTAAATGTGTTGGGAAGAAAAGTGAGAGCCAAGTTTTCCCTAAACCGTAGGGATGAAATCTATTTCTAGGTCTGTAGGGAAGTTTCCACATGAAGTTCAGGTAGATGCTCCCCTGCCATTGCTGAGTTTTGTCTCTAGCTTGGGGTGCATAAGGTGTGGGAATTTTTTGTTCAGTCTAAGTTGACTCCCATAATTCCTCTCATGGGCCCACTAACTTTTACACTTTATGAATATCATTACATAGATTTAAATGGAAAATATATCGCCTGCAAGCAATGCAATACTTGCCAAGCAAATAAAAAGCTACATTATCCTTTCAGAATATTATAAATATATCTTGCTTTCTTTACTGTGGCCCATGGATCAGCCAACAGAGACTGGGAAGAAATTGTATAGGTAGGCCAAGCCTGGTCAGCCATCCAGGGATGGAAAACAAGCGGAAAAAAATCTCTCTGAGCTGAACAAAAGTTATTCAGAATGTATCTGTGACAGAATGATATCAGCAGCTTGGCTGATGGCGACAAGTAACACATTCAGATGGAGTTCTCCCTGGACTGGCAGATGAAAACAGAACAAAAAGCCATGGAAAGAAAGCTCTCATACTAACTCTAGCTTATAAAGAATTTGGATTTAATTTTATATTCATAGAAAACGCTTTTATTTTTAAAATTAATGGAAATTATCTTAGACTATGTTCTCTTTTGGACTGAAAATTAGCTGAACACCTATAAACAAAGGGTACTACTACTTATCAGTAGTTTAAATTGGGAAGAGATGAAGTCTCTTCTTGTGGCACAAGGATTATTATTGGATTGCAACATATTTATTGTGAAATGTGTTTGACAAATATGTTGTAAAGAGAGTTGTATTATTATTTCTCATTAATCCCTTTAGTCTATTACAGTCACAGTACTGTCTCAGCTCTAAATTTTAACTGGTAATTCTTAGATAAGTAATTCTCTACATAGTGGATATGTGTTGAATAAGAAAAAAAGACAGAATCATAGAATCATCTAGGTTGGAAGAGACCTTGAACACTGACCATTTTCAACTACAGCATATCCCTCAGCGCTATGTCGACCCAACTCTAAGACACCTCCAGGGATGGGGACTCCACCACTGCCCTTGGCAACATATTCCAACTAATAACAACCCCTTCTAGAAAGAAATTCTTCCTAATATCCAGTCTAAACCTTCCCTGCTACAAATTGAGGCCATTACCTCTTGTCCTATCACTTGTTACTTGGTTAAAGAGACTCATCCCCAGCTCTCTGCACCCTCCTTTCAGGGAGCTGTAGAGGGCGATGAGGTCTCCCCTCAGCCTCCTCTTCTCCAGACTAAACACCCCCAGTTCCCTCAGCCGCTCCCCGTACGACCTGTGCTCCAGACCCTGCACCAGCTCCGTTGCCCTTCTCTGGACACGCTCGAGTCATTCAATGTCCTTTTTGTAGTGAGGGGCCCAAAACTGAACACAGGAATCGAGGGGCGGCCTCACCAGTGCCGAGTACAGGGGTCAGATCCCTTCCCTGTCCCTGATGGCCACGCTAGTGCTGACACAAGCCAGGATGCCATTGGCCTTCTTGGCCCCCTGGGCACACTGCTGGCTCCTGTTCAGCCAGCTGTCA